TTGAAATCCGACCCCTTTTTAGTCATTCTGTCAATTAAGTGACAGCATGGCACAATTATTCGTTAAATGTCTTTTTTTTTTTCTTTTTAATGGTGACATAGGATTACACGTGGCGAAATTGATGAGTTGGCAATCAGATTTATTTTCCATGTAATCAATAGGTCTTAAAATAATTTTTTAAAAAATCATTGTTTCCCTTTATCTTTTCATTTCCCATTTCTATCCTCATCTTCTTCGCGAACCCAAGATGAACCCAGCTCGCAAGACTGGGTTGGCAACGAACCTAGGCGCGAGCTGGGTTCTTTCTCTCAGTCTCTCCCCCTCTCCCGAATACAAACAATGGCGCCTTCTGTGGTTATGCTCTGCTTTGCTCCTTTGCTCTTGCTTCCGTGTTGGTGAATGCGAGAATCCTAGGGGTTTATAATGGTGGGCCATGGCAAAGCGCCCATGCCACTTTCTACGACGGCAACGACGCCTCTGGGACTATGGGTATGCCTTTTTTTTCTTCTAACATAAACCAATTATGATGTTTATAGGTTAAATACCCTTTTTGGTCCCTCTACTATAGGAAAAAGCCCCTTTTTGATCCATGTATCGAAAAAATCCATTTTTTAGTCTTTACTGTTCATAAATCCGGCCCCTTTTTGGTCCTTCCGTTAATTTTTGCTCACGTGTCACGTTAACTTAACTGAAACAACTGATGTGGATATGCCAACATGTAAAAGATCCTTACGTGGACTCCAGGTCATCCTCCAGGTAGACTCCACGTCACCCTCCACGTGGACTCCACTTCCTCCAGTCTTTTTTTCTTTTTTTCCCTTTACCCCCCCAAGCGAACCCAGACTACCCAGGAGCTTGGGTTCGCGAGGAACCCAGGAGCCTAAGTTCTACGCGAACCCGCGAGCTGGGTTCCTCGCGAACCTAGGCTCTTGGGTTGCTCGCAAACCCGCGAGCTAGGCTCGTCGCAAGCTACCCAGAAGCCTGGGTTCATCACGAACCCATGAGCTGGGTTCCTTGCGAACCCATGAGTTGGGTTCGTCGCAGGCTACCCATGAGCCTGGGTTTGTCGCAGCTCTCAATAAGTACGACTTCGATTCTAAGCTCGGAACCAAGGTGAGCTTTCTATTTCATTTAGTCAATTTATCGATTGATGATATTTGCTTGGATTGAAGGTAAATTCTGAATTATGCAAATTGGGTGCTAATTTTAGTGATGATTTTAGGCAATGCTTCATGTCTATGGTTAGAGATTGAGTTGTTGAGG